GGAGTTCTCCTTGAAGCCCTTCCCACACTTGGGGCAGCGGAAGGGGCTCTCATCTGTGTGAATCCGCTCATGGCGGAGGAGAGTGGAACTTCTCTGAAACCTCTTCCCACACTGGGGACACTCACAGGGCTGCTCTCCGCTGTGGATGAGCYGGTGTTTTGTGAGGGTGGACCTGTCCTTGAAGCCCTTCCCACACTCGGGGCATTGGAAGGGTCTCTCATCCGTGTGAATCCGCTCATGGACAAGGAGATTGGACCTGCTCCGAAACCTCTTCCCACACTGGGGACACTGACAGGGCCTCTCCCCCGTGTGGATCCTCTGGTGCAGAAGGAGCTGGAAGCTCCGGCTGAAGCTCTTCCCACACTGGGAACACTCATAGGGCCTCTCCCTTGTGTGGATCCTCTGATGCAGAAGGAGGTAGGAGCTGCAGGTGAAGCTCTTCCCACACTTGGGACACTCGTAGGGCCTCTCTCCAGTGTGGAAGTTCTGATGTTCCATCAGCTCGAAGGTGTCTCTGAAGCCCTTCCCACATTTCCCACATTCGTAGGGCCATTCCCGGGTGTGGATCATCTGGTGCTGGATCAGCTTGAAGCTCTGCCTGAAGCTCTTCCCACACTCCCCACACTCGAAGGGCCTCTCCCCTGTGTGGATCATTTGGTGCCGGATCAAGTCAGAGTTGCATCTGAAGCCCTTCCTACATTCCCCACACTTGTGGGGCTTCTCCCCCAGCTCTGAGCTCTGCCTGGATCTCTGGCTGCTTTCCTGGCACAGGGAGGGTCTTTTCTCCTCACAGCTCCCTGGGCTGGGTTTGCAGCTTCTCCTCCTGTGGGATCTCTGGGGCTTCTCCTCCTCTTCCATCCAGCCACACCTTGGGAATGATAAATCCTGGTTTTAGGGGAGAAGCAAGGGATGAGCATCTTGGGCTGGGGTTCCTCATGCCCAGGTCCATCTCAGAAAGTCACCGGACATCTTGTGTCCATAAAAAGTTATAAAACACCAAGGTGCTGCCAAAAATACCCCTGAGATACAGACACGGCCCCAAAAGTCCCAAATCAACAAGATTAACCCAAAACACCTTCCCAAATAAAAAGATTTAGCCCCCCCAAAATAAAAGGCATCAACATTTAGCCCAATAAACCTCAGAAACATCCATTTTTATGCCCGTGAAAATCGTGGATCCCCCTCCCTGGTCACCTGCAGATACAGAGAGTGGTAGAACCTTGTGGTGCCTCCTATTCCTGCTCCATCCCCTCCTCCTGTATCCTTACTATTCGTCACATTCCTCTTCCTCCTGCTACTCCTCCTCTTCCTTCTCTTCCTTCTCCTGCATAATCCCACCTC